TCTGTACCACACCCATTTTCATGCATTTTTCGCAAAAGCAAGCGAAGATTAACAAATTTTAGTTCATAAAAGTGTGGAACATTCATTCATAAGAGAAATTTCGAAAATTCTCGGAAATCACTAGAAAAAAAAAAACGACAAAACGCTGACCTTTATTAAGTATATCGCTAATCGTAACCGCAATGCACGGGTCCAACGGTGAGGAATTCAAGCAGTAGTTTCGGAAGCTTCTGGAACAGATAGTTCTTGAAAAGCAAAAAATATTGAAAAGGAAACAAGTGGATACCGAAAATTGCTGCCTTCAATGGTAACTTTAAAGAGACCGTGAGAAAGAAATCGTACTTGTAAGCGGCGTAAAACATTCTCCTGTTCACGTTATTTTGCTCGGACAATTCTCGAACCAGTGGTCTTCGAGCGAAATTCTCCAGCACTCTTGATATATCATCTTTACTCAAATCCACGATAAAATCCTGAAAAAACGGTTCTCGAAGAAATAGCTATAAATAAACAGTTACAAATCACCCCAATCTTTTCCCAAAGTAAAAGACGTTAGGCTCCCACCGGCTCTCGGAGAATTAGCCGGCTGTAAATTGCCCAAATTTTTTGCCAAAGTAACAGGCTTAGGTTTTCAGCTGTGGTAATGGCAAGAAATGTATACGAATGGACCGAAACACACGAATTAATGGACCGAAACACTTCTTACCATTCTAATAATCTTACAAATTTTCTAATTTTCGTTTCTCACCTCCCTTTTCTTTTTTTTCCATTTTTTCCTATTATAATTTTCTATTTCAATGCATATTACTAACAAATACATGTTACTAACGAATACATTTTACATGTTACTAACGAATATGACGCAGTGTCAAGTTATGATGCTCTAGTGTCAAGTTACACTCCACTACTGACTCTACGATCCGTTCATTCGTTTCGATGGTAAATTGGTACTGGTATATGCCAAGAAGTCAAAATTGACATTTGTTTCCAAGAAATCCTTGAAACCGTGGGCCATTTTTGCCACTGAATGATTGTTACAGGCTCATAAGTCTAACTTCTGTTGCTCCAAGAATCCTAGAAAAAGTTATATTTTAAATATGTTTTGGAATTCGCTGCCTCTAGTCCCTCATTTTCAGTCGGCTAGCATGATTTCATGCCTAGCCAATCTGCTACAACTCAAATACTAACCTATTAAGTAAGAGTGAGATAAGACGTTTCGGCCCATTAAGTTATATATGTCATATCGGTAAAGGACACCGATACAAGTATTTAAAACGTATATGACT